GTGCAGAAATCTCATCGGCAACTAACCCACCGGGGTTGATCCTACTTCCCAGGTAAGTGAAGTGGTCAACACACTCAACCACTTCACTCTCTATTGTTAACCGCGGTACCGCTGAAGACCAGTCTTGGAGCAAAAATTTGCATTTGGGTGGTGAAAATCGCATCCCAAACATTCTCAAATTCCCACTCAAAGTGTTCAGAAGACTCTGCATCTTGTCAGCGTCTTCACCTAACAGGACTATGTCATCTGCATATTCTAGATCTAAGGAAAATTCACCTGTGATCCGGTCAACGTCTTTGTAATTAGGTGACGAGAGGGAAACCTCCATAAGAATATCTATGATAAAATTAAATAAGAATGGGGATAGTGGGCATCCTTGACGGACACCACTTGATGAGTATAGCTCCCTGGACAACTCACCATAGGCTCTAACATGCCCACAAGTGTTCGAGTAGAGAGCTTTCAATAAGGTGATGTACTTACTAGGCACGCCTTTCAGTGACAGACACTGCCATAAGACTTCTCGATCAACGGAGTCAAATGCCGCCTTCAGGTCGAGAAATACAGCTATTGTCGGGCGTCTGTAAGCATGCCTATGTTCCAGGACCTGGCGCAGTGTGAATATTTGGTCGATACATCCACGGCCAGGTCTAAAGCCTGCCTGGTTTTCTCGGGCTTGCTGTTCCCGAGCTCCACTCAGGCGTCGGAGAATTATAGAACTTAGGATCTTAGATACTATGTTTGTCAGGCTGATTCCTCTGTGGTTATCACAAGAGGACTTCTCGCCTTTCTTGAAGACTGGGATGATGAGTGACTTAGACCAGTCGGAGGGGATCGTATTTGATTCCCATATACTGGCTAACACTTCCGTTAGCCTGACTAAGAGAACTCTACCACCATTCTTGTATACCTCAGCAGGTAGTCCGTCTGGTCCTGCTGCCCTTCCTCGTTTCAGGCTACCTACCGCTTTCTCAACTTCTTCTAGTGTTGGGGGACCTGTCTCTATGTCCCATTCAGGGTCCGACTGGATAGCGGGCAGAGCAATCGTGGCTGGAGGCCAGTTAAACTGTTCCTCAAAGTGTTCTGCCCATCGTCCCAGTCGCCTTCCCTGCGAGTGAATCGCCGATCCGTCCTTCTCCGCTATAACCTCACTAACTGTTGTTGACCATTTCCCCCCAGTCTCCTTAATAAGTCTAAATAACTGTCTACTGTTACCGATCGCCGCTGCCTTTTCCATCTCTTTAGCCTTTGCTGCCCACCACTGTTCACGATCGTTGCGCAGACTTTTCGTCAGTTTATTTTTAAGTTGCGCTCGCTCTTCATTGTACTCAGAGCCTGCAGGGATGCATTCACGTGCATCCATTAGTTTGGAAGAAGCTGCTGATATCCACTGGCTCTTTTTAGTCATTATCTTGGAGTCGGCTACAGTCTCCAGTGCTGCTTTTACAGTAGACTGAAGATGGCACCAAGCTTCTTCTGGATGAGTGACAGTCTTTTGTTCCGATAACTGCCTAGCCAACTTCTCACTGAACACGGCTTTGGTGTTTTCGTTGTCCAGCAGAACTCGTAGTAGTTTTGTTGCCAAATTTTTCCTACGTCCATTGAGACGCAGGCATATACGTGCTCGGACCAACGCATGATCGCTGTCCAAACACACCATTGAAAGTGGAAGACATGAGGTTACAGGTATTTGACCACCGTTGCCTTCGTAGTATAGGACGTATTCCGTGGTGTCACCATGTGAGTAATACAGAAGTTAGGTGTAGAGTTTTAGGGAGAAGAGGTAAGTCAGTTGACGAGGCTGTGAACCTTCATCGACTGAGATGGTTGGGACACGTACTACGTATGCCTAGTCACCGATTGCCTCGTCACACAATGTTGGCTGAGGTGGGTTCAGGCTGGAAAAAGGCTCGAGGTGGCCAGACTAAAACATGGCACCAATGTATGAAGTCTCTGACTGTTGGTTTAAGCCATGTAGGACGATGCAGACTAGGTGGTTGGGGTCCACGGGACAAGAGGAACCAGTGGTTGGAGACCCTAGGTGATATGGCTGAGAACCGAAGTCAGTGGCGCAGATGTATACACACATTATCCTCATCTTAACGAGGCTATACCGAATCTCACTATTTTGTCACTCCTCTTTCCTTTCTTCTCATGCTTTATATTTCTTTTGACTGCATTCACTTTTCTTCATCTTTCACCTCACTACCTTTTTACTTGATGTGCTGATATGAGGTGTGGCAACTCGGACCGTTACGCAGTAATGCCTGGTCCTATGTTGATAATGATGATGATGATGATGGAGTTTGTTGTTGTTGTTGATGGTGGTGGTGCGGTATCTTCATCACTTCTGTCTTCTCTATATTCACCTAAAGTCCCGTCTTAGCTGCCTCTTCTATCAACTTGTTAGTTTTTGCCTGCAGATCTTCAAGTTTGTGTGACATTAGGCATAAGTCATCGGCGAAATCCAAGTCTTCTAGGTTCTTTTCCGTCGTCCAGTGTATCCCCCTCTTCTCGCTGCCTACTGTTTGCTGCATGATCCAGTCCACCACAATAAGGAATATCATGGTGATAGTAGGCTGCAACCTTGTTTCACTCCTGTCTTCACTCCAAAAGCATCACTGAGTTTCCCATTGTGAATTACTTGGCATGTGGCATCTTCATATAGTTGTTGGATGAGGTGGATAAAGGTTTGCGGTACTCCGTAGTATTGAAGCAGTTTCCAAATTACTTCTCTGTCGACGCTGTCAAAGGCCTTCTCAAAGTCGATGAAGTTGAGGTAGAGAGCTGATTGCCATTCTATGCTCTGTTCTATGATGATGCGAAGCGTTGCAATTTGGTCTGCACATGATTTGTACTTCCTGAAGCCTGCCTGTTCCGGTCGTAGTTTTGAATCCAGTGCATCCTTTAGCCTCTCTAGGATGATGCGGCTTAATATTTTACTTGGGGTGGACAGGAGAGTGATTCCGCGCCAGTTCTTGCAAGCACTGAGGTCTCCCTTCTTCGGCAGTTTGACAAGGTAACCCTTCTTCCAATCGTCAGGTACCTTCTCTTCCTTCCACACCTTCTGCAATAGTGGTGTGAGCATGGCCGCTGTTGTCTCTGCATCTGTTTTCAGTGCTTCTGGCGGTATTCCATCTGGTCCTGCTGCTTTCCCGCATTTCAGTAGCTTTATGGCGTTCAGGACTTCCATTTTCGTTGGGGATTAATGTTCACTTGTAATTCAGCGGCTGCAGGTGGTGTTTCTGGACGAAGTGCAGGTGGTGGTCGATTCAAGAGCTTCTTGAAGTGGTCGGCCCATCGTTTCCTCTGTTTTCTCTTCTTTTGTAATTAAATTTCCTTCTTCATCTTTTATTGGTTTCATCTGTGTTGGTCTCTTCCCTGATAGCAACCTGGTTATTTGATACAATGTCGTCAGGTCTCTCTTACCTGCAGCCTGTTCTGCTTCACTTGCCAGTGTTTCGTAGAAGTGTCTTTTGTCTTAGCGTGCACTCTTCTTCACTTCTTTATCCAGTGTTTTATACATTGTGCTCAGTTCCTCTTGTCGTTGAGCATCCTTGCACTAGTTTATCTTCTGCTTCACCATCCTCCTCTCCTCTATCAGCTCCCAGGTATCCATCGAGATCCATTCCTTGTCTTCTTTCTTCTTCCTTCCTAATACGGCTGTGCAGGTTTCTTTCCACATCTCTTTCAAAGACTTCCAGTGTTCTTCCACACAGGTTTCTTCAGGGATGTTGCTCGATGTCTCCCATTTTGTCTTGATGGCTGCCGTGAAGATCTCCTTTGTAGTTTCATCCTTCAGTTTCCTAGTGTTGTACTTGAATTGAGGTCTATCACCAGCTTCCTTGAAGGCTTTCAACTTGATTTGGAAGGTTCCTTACACTAGACAGTGAGTGGTCTGGACCTACATCTGCTCCTCTTCTTGACCTTGTGTCAAGTAGGCTGACTGCGTCTCCATTTTCTTGAGATTGAGATAAAGTCGATTTGATTTTTAGTGTGTCCATCTGGTGATATCCATGTCGCTTTGTGGATATCCTTGTGCCTGAACACACTGCCTCACTGCAATCACCAAATCGTTGAATGCACAGAATTCTGCAAACAATTCTCCATTCTCATTCATTTCACCTAGCGCCTCTCGACCCATGGTTAGTTCTCTTCCCGTGTTGTCCCCTCCCAGTTTGGCATTCATGTCGCCCATTAGAATTTTGATATCGCCAACTGACGTCTTGTCCAGTGTTGATTGAAGTTGTCTGTAGAAATCCTCCTTTTTCTCTTGCTCTGCATTATTTGTAGGTGCATAACATTGTATGATTGTGATCTTTCTTCCTTTTGAGTTGAATCTTGCTGTCATGATCCTGGAGGAGATTGGTTCCCACTGCATGAGAGCCTTCGATGCTCTTGAGGACATCATGATAGCCACTCCCTCAGTGTGCTCGTGGTTGTCGTCTGGGTGACCGGAGTAGATTATTGATTCTCCAGTTGACAGTTTGGAGAGTCCACTCCCATTCCATCTGCTTTCGCAAATTCCAAGCACTTCGATGTGATACCTTCTCATCTCCTTTGCAATCTGGGCTGCCTTACTGGGTTCAAACATCGTGCGGACATTCCATGTCCCCATGTTTACTTTCGCTTTCATCGAGAGGAGAGAAGACACATCGGCCAGTTGGCTTCCTGAAGGCAGGCTTTCACCAACTGGCGTCATTTCGCCTCTCCGATTCCAGCGGGGAATAAGTTTGTTTTTATTTTTTATATTTTGTTTGTGCTTTGAAGTTTGTTTAGCGGTTAGATTTGTTTTACGGGGTAGGGTTGCTAGCCCTATGCCCAACCTTCCCTCTTTACCCGGGCTTAGGACCGGCTAGTAACTAGTAAACTAGTTAACCAGGCGAGGTTTATTGTTTGGAATAAAGTGAATTATTATTATTGTTATTATTATTATTATTATTATCCCATTGCTTGCAGCTAGTACTGCATTTTAAAACAGCAAATTTGACTTTTTTCAGGTTGGATATATTTGAGAAAGCGATTGTTTCATCAGATGATCAAGATGGCATGCTTCGCTATGCTTTTCGTGTCGTGCTTACTTTGATTGATAGTGTTCGCTTAAGAAACCGTCTTCTACGAATCATAGTTTCTGTGTATATGAATCGAGCTCTTCCCTCTGACGCTGTCAATGTTTGTCAATGTCTTGTATTGATGAATGACCCACAGGTTTGTTAATTTAGAAACGAGTTCAGAATATTCTCTTTTTGCCTTATACCACATCAAACAATTATGATACACTTAAAATCTTAATTTATTATGAATAAATTCCACAGTACACAAACTACTCATAAATTTACTTGAAGTTGGATTAGACTTATCCTTTGCTCCAATTTTTCTTCTATATGTATTTGTCTGCAGCTCGTCATTCTCGTGGATTTCTACTCAACTAGTAATCATATTCTCAATTACTTCCCTTGTTATACATACCAAATGAATCACTTTTAAATATAAATTAACCGCTTCGATTATGATGGTGTACATATTTGAATCCATTTAGATGGGATAAATATCTTCGAGAAAAGACACAATGTTATTCCTGACACTGATTGAAATTTATCTGTGCTTAATAATTTCATCACGTTTATTTCACTTCATAAGTAGGGAATATAAGGTTTGATAGTTCATATAAGTGTCCTATGTCCAGTATTCGCAAGTGTCTAACGTAGTCATGCTTATCATTATGAGCGAAAGTAACTTGCAAAAATTGTCAAAAGTATTAGCAATGAAGTTCAAAGTTTTCACAGAATGCTATATTGAATTTTCAACTGTCAGATCCAGCTCAACCTATCAAGGTTTGGGACATAGGACTGAATCATTAGTCTAGTTTGTGAACATAGTTGTGGTGGTGATTTGGTAGTTTAAAAGCAATCTGTAAATATTAATTTGACTAGAGTAAACGTAGCTGTCAAGAAGTAAGTCTGAATGACTATTATTATTATTTGTCCCTTGGGTTCCCAGTGGAACATACGCTTCAGTGGAACATAGCAATTTCACTCTGTTCTCTGCAGTCTTTTGAACCTGACTCCACCACTGCCCACAAGCTTTCATTTCTTCCTCACACCATCTCCTCCATGTCACCCTCGCCCCGGACGCCAAACTCGCCGTTTCCCCTTTGGGTTCCACTTGAGGGCTTGGTCTGGCCTGACGCTTAGTGTCCTCGAATGGTCTTCCCAGTGTTTGCCCGATCCATCTCCACTGTCTTCTGCATATTTGTTGGGCGATGGGTTCTTGGTTGGTTCGTTGCCAGAGTTCTTTGTTGCTTATTCTTATTATTCTGGCCATCTGATCTCCATATTCAGTATCGAGTGAATTTGAGTGGCAGCTGTTGATATGTGTCTGTAGTTTGTTGAAAATGCTTTTCGTAACACGCCAAGTCTCTCAATTATCACATAGAAGCACTGACTTGACTGACATAAGTGTTGAAAATCTGTATCTTGTTCTTTATGCTGAGTGAAGTGCAGTAAATCTCCACACTGATTTCAGGTTAATGAATGCCTGTCTTGCTGTCTTTCTGATCCTTGCTTTGACGTCCTCATCTGTGCCGCCTGTAATTGAAACAATGCTGCCTAGGTAGGTGGGTAGATGAAAAGACTACTTCCTTTAGGTTTCTCCCGTTGATGGTGATTGGTGCTTGTTGTTGCTGTTGTTGGTTGGGTATCTTCATCACCTCCGTCTTCTCTACATTCACTTGAAGTCCGGTTTCCGTTTTCTGCCTCTTCTGCCAACTTGTCGTTTTTCGCCTGTAGATCTTCGAGTTTGTGTGACAAAACACTAGACATAAGTCATCATTATTGACGGCGAAATCCAAATCTTCTTCTGGTGTCTTTTCATCGGTCAAACAGCGGATGCCCATCTTCTCGCTCCTCACGGTTTTTTGCATGATCCAGTCGACCACAATTAGGAAGATAGTTGACAGCTTTGTCTTACTCCTGTCTGCTGTCTTCACTTCAAAGGCGTCACCGAGCTTTCCATTGTAAATCACTTGGCATGTGGTGTCGAAGCTATTTGGTCAGCGAGTTTTTGACTTCAAGACACTCTTCAACTGACTCTATTAGTAATGTATGACCACAGCGTAAAAATTCATAAATTGGTTGTGATAGCACCTAACATGATATTAACGCTGACGTTTTACAAGTCACAATGTTTCAATATATTTGACACCACTACGCAGTATTGATAGGTGAATCAGGATTGTTTCATGAATGCATTTTCAACTGAATCACTGGCCAAAAAACCGTTAAAAGCAGCTACCGCTATATATCTGTTTTGTCCTAGTTCGGGATTCCTCAGTAGTGCATGGCCGTTCAGAATGAATTGTTGGTTGTCGGATAGAAATAAAAACCTGTCTTTCATCGATATCAGTGTTCAATGTGTACTTACAATGCTTAGTTATATTATTATGCATAAATCAGTACTGGCTGAATTTCAACATTTGTTTAGGTCATATGTGTGGTTGATTTATCCCAAAAGGTGATGTGCTTGAATTCCACGAAACACTAAAGGTAGTAATAATCCTTAAGGACACATTAATCGTTGGTTTTCTTCAAAATGATTTGACTCATGACTTGAGCGATGTAAAGGGTGTATTGTGATGTTTGTCGAAAGTTGAATATAGCCGTAAATAAGTTATCCGCACGAATCTTGCACAGACGTTTTTGGAAGCATTTATTTCCTAGAAAATCTACGGTGTAATTGTAGCTATCCTTATTATTAGAAAATCAGCTTCAAAGTATACCATTTAAAGCTAATTCAGTGAATATCACTGGGATACTGCGAAAAGTGTTATGAAGACGGTATGTATTTAGACTCGTTTTTTTGCCTTCATATCGTTTGAGGAACTCGTTAGCGTACGCTTTTTTGTCATAACTCTAGTTGAATTGGTCAGTGACCAAGCTTGCATTAGCAGTGGCTGTTGTGTTGACGTAGTTTAAGTCATAACAGGTATTCTGGAGAATTGATTGTGTACTACTTTTTTTTTTACCAGTAAATGTAAGGATTAGCACTTGTGCTTATGAAGCCGAACTGTGTACTGCAGTATGACAACTGTATTCTCTTCAGCAAACAATTTGACATTCTATGGTGTTTCATTTTTTGTTAGTAACGGTAGTATTCTAAAAATGCATTTCATCTAGTTGTTTTAATTTAAACCTTCGTTGGTGCATCTGAAATCTCATGGGTTCTTTCGATATTTCATCTTACGATTAACTGCTGCAGCACTAAAAAATTTACTCTAGTATGTGACCCGTTTAATTAATGAAGATAAAGAGCATGTTTTTACTTTTTGTAGGCCACAGCAAATACACTAGAACAACTTTTACTTCAGTCACAAGAGGCGACCATAACAGCTTATCAGATAGGTTTTGATTTGTATGAAAATGCAACCCAAAACTTTCTTCAACGTGTTTCTGCTTCTCTTGCCAAAAGTTCAAAATTAAGTCATATGATGACTTTAATAGAACAGGAGAAGAAATTAGCAAAAGGACCAACAATAGCTGAGAATGCGGCTGGTACCACATCTGAATCTACAAGTGATGATAAGAAGAAAGCAGAAAACAAAGAAGCTGAAGAAACGTCAGAGGCTGTAACAACAAGTGAAAGGAATACAGAAGCTGAGACAACAGCAGTTGATATACTTTCTGAATCCGACAAAGAAATAAAGAAACGTCTTATGCACCTGATGAGCATTTTATCAGGAGACAAAGTAAGTAATGAGTTAATCAGTGTGAGGATAGTTTATATAACTTGTTTCCGTCAAAATTTAATTATAATCAGTGTTTGTTTTTATGAAACAGTTGCTTGCTGTGCTGGCTAACTAGATACCGTTATTAGTCAACACAGTGATTGCGCTTTGTAATACTTATCGCCAGCATATAATACTGTAAATCTATAGTTTTATGGCCTAACAAAGATGATCGTTTGACTTTCTACTAACTTGTCTAAATTTAGTTACCAACCTCTTGTCATTAACTTTAGTTTCAGTTTATGCTTTCTGTCAACTGGATCAGTAAAAATCAGCTGCAGTAACTTACTGAAGCGCAAAAATCAAAGAAGTACGAAAGCCTGGGTTTTAGTTTTCTATCAGTTGAAGTACTGATATGGTAGTTACTTTACTGTTGGACGTCTTAATGATTTTTCTCTTTCAATGTAGTGACAGATATCAGTAATTAAATATTTCGCCTAGCCCCACCTTTGTTAACGATGGATTTTTATTTTGACAGGGTTGGTTTGTTATTGTTTTGTAGCCATGCTGTTACGACTACGTGGAATTCACCATTCACATAGAGTGCGTGTAGATTTTTGTCGATCAAGGTTTGTTTTATTTCATTCTGGTTTGTCTGTTACATTCATCTTGAATCCAAGTTACTAAAGTGCCAATCCACTTCTTTGGACTGAAACAAACTGAAATTAAAGCATATAACAGCATACCACTTATAATCTATCTTAAGCCCTGTGGGCTTGAACAAGCCTGTAAATCATCTCAATAACTTTTGTTGCCGACTGACAACTGTTACTTTGATATCGTGATCAGGTTTGCCTACCACAATAACATGATGAGCTATTTTGGGCGAAACGATTGTCCCTCGGATTCCTGCCTCACCAGAAAGGTCTGCTGGATAGTGGTGAAGTAGTTTACATTATAATAGCACTCCGCTAGTGTAGTCGTACTGCTAGATGTAAGACAGTAATGCGTTTCTTAAGGATAAACGGTATTCCAAGCTGATGCTACCCCCCTTTATTTGATGGAAGGAGTGAAAAGATCAGCCCTAAAAGGAGCACGTTCCTCTCTGGGCATGAACTTTTGACGTCAGTGGTTAGGTTCCTTATTCAAGTGCGAACGCACCACAGTTAGAAGAGCAACAAAGGCTCTCAAGACAGTTTACTACCAACCTCTAGCAGATATCATTTGTGCTCCTTGGTCTCGAACTTGAGTTGGTAAGACTATCCTAACTGATCCACTTTCCTTTCCTCAAGAGGAACTAACATTTCCCCTTTGGCTGACAGGAAGTACTATACCTCTGTTGACACTGAATCTCCGCATAAACACCATCGACCTTCTAGTTTGTTATATTCCAAATTTTCTTCACGTTATTTTGTCCTTTGCTGACTGATAGCTGCTACCTTGACGTGGTGGTCTGGTTTCCAACCTTTGTATCTCAGTGAGTGCTAAGCGTGACTGTATCTACTATGCTTGATGTCAGTGCTAACCAGAAACAAGTGATTACAAGAACAAACTTGTAGGACACGACCGCCGTTGTCAGTTTGTTGGCGTGAAATACAATTGATACACCTCAGATGCCATTGAATCTCCAGACACTTTAAGAGTGAAGCTTGAAGATCCAATGCATTGATCAGGTCCAGTCACGTGAATAACCGCACTTCAAAACATCGAAATGCACTCAGCAACATTGTGCACATTTGTGCAGTAGGCAATGAGCCACACCTATTGTGTAAGGGCTAATAATACCTGGGTGCCGCAAGCTAGGTAGGTGGAGCATTGTTTGAACGCATGACACACTGGTTGTAAGTCAGCCGCCCAAACCAAGAGCCACAGCTCCACATGAGTACATTTGGGTCCTGTATACTGGTTTCAGCGTAGACAGGAGTTCTATTTTGGGGGCCGACCTGTTCTAACCTCCCCCCATTGTGTTCATTACAATGATCTGTCTAATATGTGCATTTTAAATGTCTAATGTTTGATAGAAACACTTTTTAGCGATCCTTATAATAATAAATATGCTAACCCAAAATTCAATTTCCTCATCAAGGTTATCGAATTGCATCTACAATTTCTAATACGGAACAATAAAGCTGATCTTCGATTGTTAGAACGTATACGTGACGAAGTACGACATTCTGTGACGCACAATGCGACAGTTATTGCAAATGGAATCATGCATTGTGGAACAACGTCAGATCAGTTTTTACGAGATCATTTAAATTGGTTAGGAAGGGCTGTAAATTGGGCTAAGTTTACTGCCACTGCTACCCTTGGTGTCATACATAAAGGTAAATACTTTTTATTTTTAGTGGTTTTTAGGGAAGCTTAGTAGTGCATGGAATTTAGGCAACTTTTATATGATCAAGTGTTAACACTAGTCATAACTTCACTGGCAAACTTTTCTCTGAATCCTAATTTGTACTCTCAGTTTATGTTTTATTCTGGTGTTTTTTTACCCTTCAGGTCATGAAAAAGAGGCTTTACGTCTTATGTCTGCCTATTTACCAAAAGATGCAAGTGGTTCATCGGGTTCAGTGTATACTGAAGGTGGAGGTTTGTTCGCCTTAGGTTTGATTCATGCCAATCATGGTGGGACAATGACAGGTGAGCTCTTAAGAGATGTATATCAAGAAATATTTTAATAGTTGTTTGCACAAGTTTACTTGAGAAATCTTAATATGAAAGATATATCAGGTATTTCGATTATCTACACACTGGATACATGTTTCCATAACCTTTTTCCCCATAGAAAAAAATTTTATATTGCTACTCTAAGATTTGAATACTATTTGCTGTTTGTTCCTATCGCTCTCATAGCACATAGATTGGTTTACTTACATAAGTTTGAAATCCAGAGTAAAATCATTAAGCAAGAGTGATATAACCTACTATTATAAGTATATTCACAGCTATTCCTCATTAATTCATATAGATTACGTTTTTATTGTACAGTGATTATTTTGCAGCGTATTATGACTTATGTGTTTAGAATGTGGACTTTTGCTCGTAGAAAGGGTTCTGAAATACTGCGTCTATCCTCTGGGAATATACTATCCGTAACTTCTTTTCAACTGACTTGTATCAATAATACTTTTATTCATGTCATCTTTTAGTTTGTTTAGCAATGACTGATCATGTTGTTCTAGACATGTACTCAACGTGTCATATACTACCGTAAACGTTTTATGTATTCATTTCTAATTGGTATGTCTATTTCCTTATCTTACTTGCGCCACTGATCATATCTTTCAGAATATTTACTCAAACAATGCAAGGAAGCTACTGCTGAGCCTGTTCGTCATGGAGCTTGTCTAGGTCTTGGTCTTGCTGCTATGGGTACTGGTAGAGAAGATGTATATGATCAGATCAAGCTGAATCTTTATCAAGATGATGCGATCACAGGTATGCCTTTTCAGTACTCTTTTTTTATTTATTTGAACAGTTTAACTGCATTTATGTTTGGTTAGCTATTGTTATGGAATAGCTGACCATTTTCAGTTGCCTATAAATTGTCTATGGTTTGTAATCAGTAATAAACTTTAATATAGAGTGAAATCTCATCAGTTCTCAGACTCTTAAGAAAAGTCACTAATTTCAATTCATTGTAATTAAAATTGTCAACTGTAGACAAGCCTTTGCAAATTGTTAAGACCACTATTCATTTTCACTGTGAATTCAAAAGATCTAGTTCATTATGTGAAACCTTTTTCTAATCTGACACTTCCAGATTCTGACACTTCTAGACGTCATTACATTCTTAGCTAAAGTACCTAACCAACTGTTATATCAGGTAGTGCCTTAACTTAGTAATTCTTTTATAATATTCTTGACATACCATTTTTTTTTTTAATACATGTAAATTGATTTACTTACATTCTAATTTACTTTGATACACATCTTAAGGTGAAGCAGCAGGTATTGGCATAGGTTTAGTTATGCTAGGAACGGGATCACCACGAGCTATTGAAGACCTTCTTGGTTATGCTAAAGAAACTGCACACGAAAAAATTATACGAGGTGTTGCTTTAGGCATTGCACTTGTTATGTATGGTCGAGTTGAACAGGCGGATGAACTCATTGATAATTTAATTGTTGTAAGTCTTTTTTTCAGGTTATTTATTTATTATTCTCAAATACATTGTTGCTTCTCAGAGGGTTTATACATATTTATCTTCAAAATGTTTAATAGAACTTTGAAATACTCTTACAACTGTAGAATAATTATAATCTTTGGTAGAATAAAAGTATCCATAACGAATTCGTATATGCTCTTTTCCGAAATTGTCTATCCCATAGTTTGTTAATGGATACGGTGACACTTTAAAAAAAATGCTAGGAGAATATGATTATTGATTTTTAAACGAACTCTTCCTTTAATATAAGTGAAAAACTTGGGCACTGTGGTAGAATGTAGTTCCATATTAGATTTGTTTATTTGATATAAAGCACACAGTGATACAGTATTATTTAATTGATTACGTTTCGAGCATAAATTATTGCTCATAAATCATATCAATGTAATCACACTTCTTTCGATATCTGATTTTATAGTCCTGTCACCTGATCTCTTTGTTTTTTTGTTTTTTGATTGGTAGTAAAGTTTTCCATATCTCTGGTATAGGTGTTGCGTCATTCCTATTCACATGTGTTGGGTGTGGATTCGATGAACAAAGATTCAGTAATTAATCTCTCTCTCCACCTAGCTATATTAGACTTAAGTACAGTGGTTTTGTCCCATCCTATTGTGTGGTTGTGTGTTAATGAATGTAATGCAGTGGCCGAGTGTTTTTCTAAATAATAAATAATAATAATAATAATAATAATAATAATAATAATAATAAATAATACTGTATCACTGTGCGTTTTATATCAAATAAACAAATCTAATATGGAACTCTTCCTTTATGTATGTACTTTTCAGAAGTACGTTTTCATGAATGTTTCGGGGAATTAGACTGTGGGTTTTCAAAATGAACGAAGATTGAGTTGGTCTTTTACACTGTATTTCGCAAATCTAGGGTTTTCAACTTTGTTACTTAGCATGACTTATGAACTAATGGGATAAATGTTAATGACAGCACTGGGCAATTTGTTAGCTTGAGTTGTCTTATCTTCATTTATCTCTTAGACAGCTGTTATCATACTGATAACTTTTGAGGCATTGGTGTGGTTTAGCTTCAAGAGAGCTATATGATTCAATATAGAACCTTTGGGCAGCTATCCAAGAGATGGATCCTCAGACGCTTCAATTTGGTTTACACCTCAGTCGCTAGCAAGTAACGACAAGATAAAACAATAAGAAACTCAGTGCGTTAGTTCTTTCTTCTAACTGATGATAAACACAGTAAAAATTTATGTGTATTTACAGGTTTCTTATCTGATAACCTTGTGGATTAGCCATTTAGGATGTGATTTTATCAAACCAGATTTGAGTTTCTAATTGAAATGCATTCAGCAACTTTGTTCACATTCGTGCATTACGTAATGAACCACATCTATTATACGTGGGTTAATGATACTACTTGGCTGCCAAACCTCTGTAGGTGAAGCGGGGCTCTAACCCATGACTCATAGGTGGTTGAGAGTTGTCTTCTTAAACCAATGAATAGAAGTTGAAGCCTTCAAAAGCAGCGTGTTTGAAAATATTTGATTTTTTGACAATTTTTGGGAAATAGCGATATTTTTCCAGTATCTACTGAACTGAATTTTTCAGTAGTGCCCGTTTTCGGTCAACTGAAAAAAGCCGTAAATTTTGTAACTTTTCAGATTTTCCGTTGAGGTTTTTTTCCAATTAGTCTGACTATATCTTTTATATAGGTTTATTTCCATTAATTTTATTCCTTACAATGACAGGACAATGATCCCATTTTACGATGGTCTGGTATGGCAACGATTGCAATGGCTTATTGTGGTACCGGTAATAATCAGGCTGTGAAACGTTTACTTCATGCTGCTGTCAGTGATACAAATGATGATGTTCGACGATGGGCTGTTACAGCTCTCGGATTTGTTCTGTTCAAGTAAGTCTAATGTATACATTTCAGCACACTTATTGTTTACTTACTTGATAAATTCTTTTTAAAATTTCAACTTTAAACAGTATTTTGATTGATATTTTAGTGGTAGTACTCACTTTCTTTCAGCAGGATGCAAACATATCCAGTTGTTGGAGGTCATATTAAAGATGAGATGCACGACCTAAATTCTACTATCATGGTCTGATGAAGGAAGTTTTCAGACATTATTACAGGTAGTAGGTGTTGAAAAAAATCAACTAGTTTTGCAGCTTTTATCATTCATAGAAATTTCAGAATCTGGTGACAGTTTAAACCATTGCTCTCACTAATAGCTAGGTTATTTGTTTTAGGCTTTTTCAGTACTTACTTTCTCATAATGGTAAAAATTTAACTTTTTTCAAAGCTTAAGGTAGCCTTTTTAATGGGATGGATTTTTATTTAAAAACAAGATCCGTTTTTTCTAAACTTGTTGATCTATACATACAGCTTATAGAATATTTCAGTGCAATTTTTTTTCACTATCTTAAGGTAACTTTGTAGCTTGACTAGGCTTCACATGAACTGAGGTTTTGTACTCTATATCACGATTGACCTTATAATTAAACTTCACAGTGTACCTTGTTTATTTGAAATCATTCTGCTGTAACATTGATGTTTTCTTTTCTTTTTTCCAGGAGTCCTGAACAAGTTCCATCATTAGTATCATTACTTGTAGAATCTTATCATCCTCATTTACGGTATGGTGCTGCTATGGCTGTAGGGATCGCTTGCGCTGGAACTGCTCTGAAAGAAGCTGTCAATCTTTTAGAAACTTTGCATGAAGGAACTGTGCCTTTTGTTCGTCAGGGTGCTTTAATTGCCAATGCTATGGTGTTGATTCAACAGAATGCCGTAACATGCCCTAAAGTATGTTTCATAAAAATAGTCTTTTTTTTAGTGTTTTGTCGCTTTGTGAAGTCGGCATCTTGTTACTCTTCAACTTGTTTATTTCACTGCTCACATAAACTTCTTTCTTGGTGAGACTACCTGACATAACCTTATTTTAACTGACTCTTCTCTATATGATAGCTGGTAGCTTAACCGGAAACCCGTTTCACGGCAGGATTCGAACCAAGTGGCATTCAGTAGGCTTGAGTTTTAGGCATATGAATTTTTTCTTATATGGCTGTTAAAATAGTGCTGCATAGCCATACGCATGACGAATTTTATCATTGAATGAAGTTACAATAAGTTGCTCATTTCATGCTACAACTAACGTAAAATACCTATGTGTTATTTGGTACACACTTGTTCTGCAAAACTAGTTATATCGTTATTGATGCCAGCTAGTTGTTGTTTGTTTTTGGTGCTGGGAATTAAAGTAGTTATAAGTCATGTAAAAAGTTAGGATAACTTGATTGAATTCATATTTCATCGTGGTTATTACAAAACATTTAATATACATATATACTGGGTGATGATTGAAGGTGAAATGAAAATTTGGATCGCTGCGGGATTCGAACCAGCCGCCACTGGGTTTTCAGCTCGGTGCTCTACCAATATTCAATATATTTTGAATACGATGCATGATTTTTAAGTGACACAGTGCTTTTTTGTTGTATATAGTCTGTGGATTTCCGTCAAAAATTGTTGAAAATCATTGGAGATCGTCATGAAGATTTATTGGCGAAGTTCGGTGCTATTATAGCCTGTGGTATACTAGATGCTGGTGGATGCAACATGACAATCTCACTGCAAACACGTACAGGTAGGTATAGTTCATTCTAACTGATTATTATTTTACAAGTAATGACCGTAATTTCCGCTACGTTTCGCTAGCTCCTAACACCGTAAACAGTCAACTTTCAACCATGTGGGTCACGGGTTCGAGTTCCGCTGTACCTATTGAGATTCAAAGAGCCAGGTATGATCATCGCCTAGTTCATATCGACCTGGTTACTAATTTACACGGGAATTTTTTACATTTATCACATCCATTCTGAGGTGAATGAAAACTAATTTTTAGTAGATAGGTTGAAATATTTCCATATTTTTAGACAATCATAGAGTATGGAATAGCATTCTTTCTGACTGCTAATAATTCTTGCTGTACGGCTGATCAAACAAACGTTTTGTAATAAAATCCTAGAATTTGTCTTGATAATAGCACACGTCGTTTGAACTGATATTGTTGCAAAAGCTAAAATTTTTCGGATGAATACAGGGTGGTGTCATGAATGCCTGGTCCTAGAGGGATTATGAAGAGTAGAATGAAATCTTGGTTTTTTTTATGACTGCTTGATTGACTTTTAATGTTTTCCACCTTTAAATATAATATTTGGTTATGTTGACGAAACTGATTTTTCTACGAAGAGGAGAGTGTGTGATAGCGGAAATTATTATTAGACTATTAAAAATGCTTACAAAAATAGTAACAAAAACGTTTAATAGAGTAGGTGCGTATAAATCTGTTCCAGTAAATGGATACTGAACATTTTATTGTTATGCTTCATATATGTGTTGTTAATCAAAGAAACCATTGTATTTCTTGTTTTTTTGTCTTGTTTTAATTATTCTTTTCTTTTCTTCACTTCCTTCTGTTTCAATAATTTAGGTAATTCAAATATGGCAGCAGCTGTTGGTCTCCTTATTTTCCAGAATTTCTGGTTTTGGCATCCATTGACCAACTTTATCAGTTTGGCATTTACACCAACAGCATTAATAGCTCTGAATAAAGATCTGAATATGCCAAAGATGCAGTTTCGTTCTAATGCTAAACCGTCAATTTTTGCTTATCCTCAACCGCTACGTAAGTTATATTTGTGCATATTTTTAAGCTAATTTGAAGGCAAATAGTGTCTGACAAATTATCATACGTTGCTTCTATGATTCTGTCATCGATTACAAAACCGATCACAATCACAGAGCTATTCCGATGGTGAAAGTTTAAAAATGAGGATATTCTATGTTACTAACTGATGTGATACTGAGCCTACATGCTTAATATATGAACTCTACAAATTGACAGGATTTTGCATCATTCTAAACTATTGATTGATATAAGAATTGTTGAAATTAACAAGATAGCAACATACAATCTTCGTGTTCAATAACGTGATTAACTTTTTTCTTGTTTCTACGGTAATAGGACAAGTGGATGATTAGAACCAGGTATGATCATCGCCTAGTTCATATCGACCTGAGGTGACCAGACATGGCATCAATGTATGAAGTCTCTGACTGTTGGTTTAAGCCATGTAGGACGATGCAGTCTAGGTGGTTGGGGTCGGCGAGACAAGAGGACCAGTGGTTGGAGGCTCTAGGTGATCACATGGCTCAGAACCGATGTCAGTGGCGCAGATGTATACACACATCCTTAACGACGCTATACCGAATCTCACCGTTTTGCCATTCCTCTTTTCTTTCTTCTCGTATTTTATATTTCTTTTGACTGCGTTCTCTTATCTTCATCTTTCACTTCACTGCCTTTTTACTTGATGTACTGATATGAGGTGTGGCAACTCGGACCATTAGGCAGTAATGCCTGGTCCTATGTTGATATTGATTGATTGAGAATACTGAGTATTTAGGGTGAATCTGATAATGCTTGTTGTTTTTTCTGCTATTTTTATCTGATTATTGTTTTATGGTTTTGTACACCTAGAATCCAAGATTTCAGGATATTGTTACCTTGCGTGTTTTATGCACGCGATACCTTAGATAAGAACATTTTCTTTTGGGATATCAATTGATAGATATATAAAAGTTAGAGTATATGTATGTTAAATAAAAGTTCTCATCTCTTAAGTAGACAAAATACAAACTGGAAAACAAACGAAATTGGTGTAATGAGCTTTGAATTGAATTGAAGAATTTCACCATTGCCTAGAGTTATAAAATCTTTCTTGTTAATTTAATAAAACTTGAATATATTTGGTTATATTGGCTTGAATTATCCAAAACCTACAATATCGATGTAATGAATAATCATTTTTAAATTTTTGGTTGGTTTTATAATTATCCTTTTTTTTTTCTCTTCACACATTTCAGAACAAGAAAAAGAAAAAAAACGTGAAAAAGTTGAAACAGCTATTTTAAGTATTACAGCCAAACAACGCAAAAAAGAGGCTGATAAAAAACAACACAAAGAACAACAACAACAATCAGCTAGTGGAACACAAATCCTTAAGGATACTCAGAGTAAAGAAGTTAAGATGGATGTGTAAGTTCTTGTAAATTCAGTTATATAGATTGTATTTCACTGTTTCCACTAGATTATATATCATGTAATCAACTGGATAACTTGAAGGTTCAGGAAATATGGACGTTTAAGATTTTCGGTTATAAATATCTGTCAGATGTGTTTACTCTTTTGATGAATGAATTGCAGCTTCCTAACTATATGCTATTCTGATGAGCATGAGTGTAGAAAAAAATGTAGATCCTATACTCAGTCATTCACTAATTAATTGTTCTTTATGCAAATCATTGGCATCCAGTAATTATTTGATATAAAAAAATATATATATATGTCCCGTATCTATCGTTCACGTCAGTTTTATATAATGAGTAACACTTTAATGCCAATTATTAATAAATCTTAGATGTGAACCTATGGTCCATCTCAACCTATTGACGTTTGATCCACCAGATGGTACTCCCAGTCCTCACACAGTTGTTTTGAACCTCTAAACAAGATTTTTTGATACCGAAGCGAATGTCTTACCAACTATATTCAACCTATAAAAAGCAAACTTAGTGTTAAAGTCTTTTTATATGTTTTGAAATGTGTCTATCTGCCATGTATAAAGGAGTGAATTCACTTCTTAGTTGGGTAAACTATGCTATTGTAAGCTTAATACTTCTACCTAAAATGATTGCTATTGTTTTATACATTATGACATTAACCATTTATTGATATAATTATGCTACTATTTGTATTCGGTATACATTTATTTACTAATATTTTGGTTATTTTAATAATATATTCATTAATTTTTTAAAATATTAATCTAGAGATATTACTCCGGAAACTGGTAAAGAAGATAAGCCTCCAGCTTCTACAGAAGTCAAAGAAGAAAAGGTGAGTAAATTTTAGTCTGAATATCAAACAAGAAAGTCAACTATAAAAATTTCTTTGGATTACAAATGGTTTTATCTTTTAAATGTTTATTTATTTTCAGTTTTATTGATACAATTAAAAGTAAATGAATACTAGCTGTTTGAAATACAATCAGATTTACCATGTTTTATATTTATAAAAAGGAGTAATAATCAGTAACTTATTTAATATAAAAAGTTCATTTGTATGTTAATGAAGATTATTTGAATTCAGAGTAATTTTCATCTCGTCAATCTATAATAAAAGTACTTTGAATCTGCTTAAAGTTGACTACTTATTATGAATATCAATTGACTAACTCTATTGCTAAGCATTACTATGATGTTTCCATGAATCAGATTCTTGAAATAATTCATCTTTTCGGGTACAAGTGGTTAGTTTTTTTTGAATGTTATACTTCAGATATTTCTTAAGGATGAAAAAAGTTCGAATAACACTCGGCCACTGCATTACATTCATTAACACACAACCACACAATAGGATGGGACAAAACCACTGTACTTAAGTCTAATATAGGTAGGTGGAGAGAGAGAGAGAGATTAATTACTGAATCTTTGTTCATCGAATCCACACCCAACACATGTGGAATAGGAATGACGCAACACCTATACCAGAGATATGGAAAACTTTACTATCAATCAAAAAACAAAAAAAACAAAGAGAGATCAGGTGACAGGACTATAAAATCAGATGTCGAAAGAAGTGTGATTACATTGATATGATTATGAGCAGTAATAATTTATGCTCGAAACGTAATCAATTAAATAATACTGTATCACTGTGCGCTTTATATCAAATAAACAAATCTAATATGGAACTATAACCTAAAAAGCTTGATGTAAAATAAAACAATAAAAAACTGCTCTTGCCATGACTTGAGATATTCATACATTTCTAAGTGTTAATCGTCTACATTTTCAATGAATCAATCTATCCGTTTATGATTAAGTAGTTAAATTTCTAGAGTCAATTTTTACATACTGTTCAATACTATCATTTCATATTAAATGGTGGATTTGTGATCCCTCCCTCTTCGTTTGATGTAATTTGACGTTTTCCATATACAAAAATGTATTCAATTCATTCTTATTGTTCCTTTGTCATTCAGGAACCTAATTTCAGCTTACTCAGTAATCCTGCCAGAGTAATGCGTGCACAACAAAGATATATCACGTTACCTGAATCATCTCGTTATACAACTTTAAAACCAATCACTCAGGTAAGTCTTATCTCTAACTCCTTTATTTTTGATTTCATAATATTCATAACAATGAGTTAAATATGCTGAATATCCTTTTCTTTTAGTACCTACCTAAATACTGACACAAACCATTTCAGATATACACACATATTCTTCTTTGTTTTTCTCTGTCTGTTTGTCGCATTATCTTTATATATATATATATATATATATATATATATATATATATATATATATATATATATGATCGATGAGATAATTATATTCTATCGAAGCCTGTAGTTTCACCCTCCTAGTTTACCGGCTGATAGTAGCTGTAGCAATCAAATGAGTATAACTCATAGCCAATGCATAAACCCAAAATAAATATTCACTATATGAATTTAGTTAATGTCGCACAAACTCAAAGATCTACAGACGAAAACTAACAAGTTGATAAAAAAGGCGAGGTAGGGCAGCGAAAACAGGACTTCAGGTGTATGTAGAGAAGACGGAGGTGATGAAGATACCTAACTAACAACAAGCACCGATCACCATTAACGGAGAAACTTAAAGAAAGTAGTCTTGATCACCTACCCACCCAACCTAGGCAGCATTGTTTCAATTACAGGTGGCACAGGCACAGATGAGGATGTCAGAACCAGGATCAGAAAGACAAGAAAGGCTTTCATCAATTTGAAACCACTCTCGAGATCTACTGCACTCCACTCAACATAAAACGTGAACAACATCCAGATTTTCAACACCAATCCAGTCAAGTCAGTGCTCCTATATGGTTCAGAAACTTGACGTGTCACGAAAAACATTTCCAACAAACTATAGACACACATCAATAGCTGCCACCTACGATCACTCGATACTGAATATGGAGATCAGATGGCCAGAATGATGTGAATAAGTAACAAGGAACTCTAGCTGGCTGTGAACCAACCAACAGACCAATCAATAACCTATCATGTAACAAATATTCACTGGAAGGAAGTGGAGATGGATTGTATTGGATTGGATTTGGCATACACTGAGAAGGCCGACTGGGGACATCACTCGTCAGGTCATGCCGTCGAGTAGAATCCAAAGGGGGAACGACGAGTAGGGTGTCTGATGTGTGGGTGACATGGAGGAGATGGTGTGAGAAGAAATGAAAGCTTGTGTGCAGTGGTGGAGCGAGTCGGAAATACTGTAGAGAGTAGAGTGAAATGGAGGCGTACTACTGAAGCTCTATGTTCCATTAGGAACCCAAGGGAAAAATAAATAATCAAATGAGATGGATTTAGTGCGTTTAGTTTCTTCATAATATTCAAATATGAAAGAAGTGGAGCTGTTGTACATTTGTCTCGACAGTTGACTTTGAAACAGTAGATTATGGATCTGAATCCTATTTCACTTATTAAGATTTCAGCAGCAATATATAGCGTCATTAGCTGTCATACTTTAAGTTTGATTCATAATCTAGGGTACGAGCAAGCTTGAGGTCGTTAAGTTACAGTAAAGTTTAAGAATGAAATAAACTTTCAGAGACGCATATTCATTATTTAAACAAGTTGTCTACTTGTTTCGATAATAAAAATTACTGCTGGGAAAGTCATCAGTTATACTGACTAATAATTTGATATCGTAGAGTAGATGTATAAACTTCTGCTAAAGTTTATGTTTGTCTCCTTGTTTCTCACTTAATATCACTTATGGTCAATATAAAACTAGTCATAGAACCTTGAGGTTTTGGGTTCGATCCCCGAAGGGATCATGGGTCCTGACTTCTAAAGAGTCCCACACTAGGACAAAACAGCTGTCTAGTGTTGTCAGGCTTCCAATGTTCCCCCAACTGATGTCAGCTCATGATGAATATGAACTTGAAATCATTAAATCCCCACAAATCTTGAGATTCAATATAAAACCGTTGGTATCGAATTTGAATCAAGTTAATTCAGAATCTATAATTAACTAGACACAAGTGGTTTAAATATTATCTAGTGATAATTGCTTCGATTCTGTATGAAGTGTTTCTTGAACACTATGTTATTGTTCCTCGTTATTAATGATATCTCTGCTGCATTTGTCAATTAATCTTTTACTAGTTAGTCTTTTATCATTTATTTATAGTTTAACCCAGTTAGTCGATTTGTTAATTCAGTTATATATTTACTAATTTATAAGATCTTGCCTTTGGCATTGGTGATATATTTATATTAGGATAATCAGAAGCCTATTAATCTTATTATTATATATAAGTTGTAACTTATGATAACCTTTGGAACTGTGATAATGTGGTTTAGGAAGATGGCTACCGACCATTGGGTCACTTGTTTGAGGTTGGCTTCACTTGCAAGGGTTTGGGCAGGCAGGTTGTAATACTAGCTTTCACACAATAGATGTAGCTCGTTGCCTACTGCACGGATGTACAAAAAGTGGTTGGGTACGTTTCGTTTCTTCCATGGTACGTAGTGGATTATATTCGTACTAAGACCGCTGTTCCTCCTCTAAGTAATACATATCACTTTATTATTGGTTTTATTTGTTTGTTTTTTTTCGTTTGTGTTATAAACAATATGTTTCAAATGTCGCATTATGCTTTATGAAAGGGTGGAATACTTATGGTACAAGATAAACGTCCTCAAGATGCTGAAGTTCTCGTTGAAAATGTCCTGGGTCCTACTGGAGAGCGAACAGTAGGTGGCAGTGGAGCTGGTTCAAGTGGCACTGGAGGAAGTGCTGATCTTGCTGCTGCATTAGGTTCTGGATCTGACTCAAAAACAGAACTTATCCATGCATCCACTATTGGAGCTTATCTTGATGAAGAAGATGATGATGAAGATGAAGACGATGAAGATGAGGATGAAGACTCTTCTAGTGATATGCATGAGGAAGACGAAGATGATGATGAAGAATTCGATGTTGCTACAGCAACTGTTACTGTTGCTGAAATGGAGGATGGTGATGATCAAACTTCAAAGCCAGATTTAGAAATGAGTGAACCTGGTACAGAAGAAAAACGTGACAAGAGTCGTGCTACTACTTCCACCCGCCGTGGTAGCAAATCACATATATCTGCATCTGAACCCAATCCCCCTGAGCCGTTTCTATACGTAGAGGAGGGCCTTGAGTCACAGGCAGCGACGTCTGGTAGTTCCAGCAGTAAGACAGGTGTTGTAGATTCTTCCACACCTTCAGGATCTTCGTCTACACAACCACCGACTGCATGTGAACCTATGGATGTCGATGTGGTAGAAGTTGATAAAGAAATTGAGAAGAAGACAGAAAGTGAATCTGACAAACCAAAAGATGATAAAGACAATTAAACTTATGAAAGTATACTTTCCTTTCTGCTCAGTGCAATTAAGTTTTCTATATTGCACTCCTGCACTCTTAAAAATATGTATTTTTCCCAGTGCATGTATATTTATTGTCTGCTGAAATCATAGCATAAATTTTGTTTGTTTTTGGAAAAGGTTATTCAACATACGATGAAGATTGTTAGTATTCAAAACTTTTAATGTATTTTACTGTATTGAATGGATTATTCAAAGTGTCAAGTATTTTGTGTATAGAAGCGAATTTCAAGTTTTTATTCTGTCATATTGATTTCACTAACGATGAATGTTTCGTAATACTAATATCTGATAGTTTTATCAATGATGTCTTCAGTGTTCAGACTAGATTTGACAATTTTATAATTGCAACAAATCTTGTGTTGTTTTAAAAATCGAGTTGTTGGTGCTCATTAAATTTTAGGCTGAAATTTGAACATTAAGATGGCTATCTAGTTCTTAAAGAATTTGATTCTAGCTGCAGAGATGCACTGTATAATATAAGTCGTTTGCAGTTTGTTTCCTTGATCATAATTCATCAACTGAGAATATTTTCATTCTCGAAGGGAATTGTGTTTAATTTTCTCTATAATTTACAATGAATTGATGTTGTTTGTGGAAGTCTGTCTGGAAATTTAAAACAGTTCAGTTAAGAAGTGGATAATTATTAGTCCAACGTCGTTAAACTGTCTCTTAAATTGCATTGAACAAATACCGTTTTAATCTCTGACGGGCGTCAAGTAAACTTTTACTTGAAACCAGATAGTTGATAGCTTACTAAGCTGTAAAATGAATCGGTTATTCACCTCTGAGTAGATTAATAAAGCTTCAGGAAGTATAGATAAATTAGGTTGCGAAATAGTAAACTACAGCGTTGTCTTGATATCTTCAGCTGTGTATGGAAATATCATCATAAACAGTATGAAAGATTAGTAAGTTTTCATCCACCAAACCTTACTTTATTCATGAATACTAGTTCAATTTTCAAGCCAAGATTGAGTTTACAAGTCTACTTAAAGGATCAGTTTTCTTTTTATGGAAGTACACAATAAGGCATTATCATAATCGTCGTCTGAAATAATGTCTTACAATAAAATAAATTCTGTCATTTGAATTTAGAAAATTATCATTTTTAAGTTTTATTTATTCACGTAGAAGACTATGATTAAACTGAGAACAGTGTTGGATTTCATAAATGATGGAAGGTGGCTAGCAGCGAAATCCACGACAAGTATTTCGTCCTATTTGGTACTCGATGTACTGGATGTACCTACCTCCTAGTGAGTGATGTTCCTACTCGAACTCGAAAGGCAATCTCGTCAAACGCCAGAGCGTTATCTACTAGATCACCGAGTCACGATAACCACTTCTTGTGCTATGAGTATAGTTTATATGATGTTGCTTGTATTATTTCGTCGTTGAGTGGGCTGAATCGATACGTCTGTTTTGGCATATGGTCTCCTGGACGGATTCTTCAATATTGCCTGTGTTTGAATTAATGATGGATAGTGGCTAGTAGTGAACTTTATGTTCCAATAACTCTCCATTATTCATTGTATAAGGTGTATTTTTACTTGTATAGATTCATACTCTTGTAAAGGATCTTCCTAGCAAGATCGAAACGTTGAAGAGTAATACAAAATATTTTATTTATTCTAATATACTTCGCCGGGATTAAGCAAGTAAAAATATACCTTATACAGTGAATCATACTAACTCGGCCAAGGTTTTTCAAACCACCCAGTCCATTGTTGGTCAGGTTACCCTCAAACTCTCCATTATATTCATATTGTTAAGAGTTTGCTTCCGTCCCATTGTTGGTCAACATAAGAAAATTGTAATTATCCTGTCGATTGATTGTAATTGATAGCAGAATTTAATTGATCAAATTATTATTATGAAGGCTAAATAAATCCACTGAGATATTGAACGAAAAGTTCAGTGAACATGCATTTCTTCTAGTTAATATTATGACACGAAATCACTTCAGAATTACAAAATAGAACTCCTAGAGGGGTACTTCATTGTAAATCATAACAGTATATGTATTGTTTTCCAGTTAGCTCAATATGTTACTTCCATAAAATAGGAATTATGATAATGGTTATGTCTGGACAGATGAAAGTGCAAATATGGCAATACTATAACGTGAATTTGACCAATGATAGGTGAAATAGGTAAACCAAGTTAAAAACTGGGTAAATTATTATTTTCCCCTTGGGTTCCTAGTGGAATATACGGCTTCACTAGCACGCCTCCATTTCACTCTACTCTCTACAGTCTTTCCAACCTCGCTTCACCACTACACACAAGCTTTCATTTCTTTCTCACACCATCTCCTCCATGTCACCCTCACATCAGACACCCAACTCATCGTTCCCTCTTTGGATTCTACTCGACAGCCTGACCTGACGCGTGATGTCCCCAGTCGGCCTTCTCAGTGTATGCCAAATCCAATCCAATACAATCCATCTCCACTTCCTTCAGTGAATATTTGTTACATGATAGGTTATTGATTGGTCTGTTGGTTGGTTCACAGCCAGCTAGAGTTCCTTGTTACTTATTCACATCATTCTGGCCATCTGATCTCCATATTCAGTATCGAGTGATCGTAGGTGGCAGCTGTTGATGTGTGTCTGTAGTTTGTTGGAAATGTTTTTCGTGACACGTCAAGTTTCTGAACCATATAGGAGCACTGACTTGACTGGATTGGTGTTGAAAATCTGGATGTTGTTCACGTTTTATGTTGAGTGGAGTGCAGAAGATCTCGAGAGTGGTTTCAAATTAATGAAAGCCTTTCTTGTCTTTGCGATCCTGGTTCTGACATCCTCATCTGTGCCTGTGCCGCCTGTAGTTGAAACAAGCTGGATAAATAGGAAGTGGGAATACCAAATGTTTTGAAAGTGTATTGTGAATATGACTTAAGGAATGTTTTCTATCAATGAAGTACTAATTTTGTTCATATTATTTTACTTGACTAAGTGGCAAGTTAGTTGTGTTATGATACTTCAGATATTCTCATTGAAGTAATTCCAATATATAATAGTTCCTTTTTATGTAATGATGATTTCATGGGGTATGTTTAACTAGCTACTCGTATTAATTTTATAAAAAGACTTAGAATGATGATGTTGGAAGTAATCGAATGTCACCGGAAAAGCTTTCAATATTTGTCTGTCAGCGTAACTGAATCTTTCTTATAAACAGCAAATGAATTCGGTGCAAAACATGTAAACATAGTAACTAAGTAACACGAGTCTGAAAAATAATATCTCAAAAGCAAGCAAGTAGATGTACAGCAGTACATAAGATCATCTAACGGCCAATATAAGTGTATTCATAAGATTGTAATACTGAATTGTGTATGCATACTCCTTATCAAATTCTCATTTTTATGATCACTTACACCAATAAAACCATTTAAATATCAACATATCGAGATGAATCATTGGATGATTTCAAGGGAATACTCTTCTTCAGATCGTATAGTTGTATGTACATACTGAGAAATTATGTGTCAACAATATTGCGATTTCAACTCATCACTTCGGCAATAATATTATACAGTTGAGGAAGTCAATTCAGAAAAGTCTTATGTGAACGTTAATGAAAGGATCAATTGGTGATGGAATTCAATTCAAAATAATTAATTATCTGGACGATTATGTGGCGTTGGTAATGTTATCAGGTAATAGCTTAATAAAACTATAGGAAGGTATTTACAAGAGCTGAATGAGATAAGCTAACAAAGATAATTTGAAGAACTGAAAGAAGTTGGGAACAGGGAGCATCATATTCCGACCTAGTTGGTCACTGGTAATGTACAGGCTACGGGACCTGTAGGTCCTGGGCTCGGCCCCTGGATGGCGGGGTTATGGGGTGCCCACTGCTGAGAAGTCTAGGACGAAATAACTATTTAGCGCTATCAGGTTCCCAGTGCTCCTCCAACTGATATCAGTCCGTGATGAATACTAACTTGAAAAATCATTAAATCCCCACAAACCTTCAAATTGAAGAATAAATGCTTGAAGTAAACGTGTAGTAAAAGCTACTACCATCTCCATATTACCACACTTAGTTGGAACGAACCATCAGGTAGATATAAGTCGTTTTCTATTCTGTACCAGGTCCCGTTAACTTGTCAAAAGGTACCGGCTCCGAATATTTTACACTGCAGAAGCAGTAGCAATTAGGGTCAAACAACCTGAGTTATGTGTTCAAAAGAGGAAAATGTTGCCACTATAACTAGTGGTACGATCTGGGGCTCACATATTTCTTTACATACTACCCCAAGTATTCTAGCCTTCTATTCCGTACTGTAAATACCTCTTCTTCGCCATAATCTAAAATAATTTTAACACATTTTATCAACCTGTTTGTCTCCCAACATGAGTTAAGTTCCATCAAGCTATTATTCCTCAAATTATCTTTGTTAGCTTATCTCATTCAGTTCTCGTAAATACCTTCCTATAGTTTTATTAAGCTATTACCTGGTAACATTACCAACGCCACATAATCGTCCAGATAATTAATTATTTTGAATTGAATTCCATCACCAATTGATCCTTTCATTAACGTTCACATAAGACTTTTCTGAATTAACTTCCTCAACTGTATAATATTATTGCCAAAGTGATAAGTTGAAATAGCAATATTGTTGACGCATAATTCCTCAGTGTATAAGCACAACTGTAGTACCTGAAGAAGTTGTCGAAAAGAATATTCTTTATTCACTTTTGAATTTTAATACGGACTAAGTAATTTAGTACTTTTAGGACTTACTAATGCCAAAGTTGAATTTATTATCATAAAGAATGCACAATTTTCAGCATCATGAAGCAGGTTCTTCTATAATCAAGGGGGTGAATCGGGACCCATTTTCCTTAATTCCTAGATCGGACATTAGGGAAGTGCTGTCAAATAAAATGATTGAACGCTCACACAACTGCTTGAGTGATGTAAAAGAAATTTTCTAGATACTTTGAAATTAACCATTCACAGAAATAAATTCCTTAACCAAATTCACTAGACAATGGAAGAAGGAAATGCAGGAAACTGCAGAGGTAAGCGGAGTAGTTGTAATTCTTGGATTGTTGGACAACCAAGCGAGATGTATAGGATGAATAATTTACCATGGCATTATCTGATGATCATGTTATCTCGTAAAGCGAATTCTGAATCCTAATGCAGGAACCTCATCACCAACTATCTAATCGGCGTTAAGATAAACATCCAATTTTTCATTGGGTCCTTATCAAAATTCGCTGATTTGTTTAACTACTAACAATCAAAGAGTAGTACAACAAATTTCAAAAACAAAACGGTTGATTAAACATTGAACACAACTAGAAAACCAAAAGTCATCCAAAACAAGTAGGAGAAAGAGGCTTCCAGCTGTTAATAAATAATACAGGTATTATGCTTGAACAAAACTAAATGCTACAGCCCCCTTACAGGATTATTGCGGATAGAATTGAGAGACGTTGAGACATACTGAGAGAAAATTCAAAATAAGAAAGTACATTATGATAATTTAGTTGGTTG